CATCCTCTACAAGAAAGGTCTGATACAATTTTTCCGTATGTCCAACGGTTTGGGAGTTATTGGCCAAAAACGAAAATTTGGAAGAAATTGAAGGGGTACCCCTTGGAAAAATCTCGGAAAAATCGAAAATTTTTTTTTGTTGTTTATTATTAGCAATGTCCTTCCGAAGTCTGATTTCTTTTTAAAAAAATGCGTTTCTGAAGTGCATAAACTTTTAGGATTGACTGTATAGCCAATACATGCTTAATTTCTTCTAGCTTTCTTCTTTCTTACAATTCGGAGATGTTCACGCCGGTTTGTTGCAATGCGTCGTTTTGATCGATCGATTCTTTGGCGTTGTCGAGTGCGGACGGTAGTGCTCGTCCGTACGAGATTCTATAGGTCGGTGATCTGAAGCTTAATTATCTTTATGGTCTCGAAACATATTAAAACGATACCCGACAATCGACGCTCAGATTCAGTCCTGTAAAATTTAGCTAATCGAAGATATAGTCGCCACCGATGATCATCCCAAGATAAGTAACGCATATACTTTTCAAATATCCAATGATGGTGGTAGTTAACGCGGAGTTGTAAAGCGTGCAGAGGATCATGTAAAAGAGGACGAAACCAATCATGCACGAAAGCCCGAACTGTACGATGAAGAAAACGTTGGTCCAATGCGGGAAGTTCATAACAGAACGCACGTCTCCCGTCCAGCAAGCGACGGCGTTTCAAAAATTCGACGAATTTTACGAGTATGATTCGTTCCAACGGCCTGAAGGCCTTAGAGACATGGAAGCATTGTAATTCGAGCCAACATTTTCCAAAGTACAGAATATTTTTGAGTCGTTGAATACTCGAGACGACAAATACTTGATGAGACGTTCGAGTTTCGCGTTTTTTCGTACGTCTATGTAACGATTCTTCGTTAGAGAGTACACGTTCGATAGACGACGATCATTGAGCGTCCAGGTGAATTTTAAGCGCCTTTTCTTTTCGTCCGGTGTAACGCGACGATGGTGCCGATGAAACCGGGAGATACCTTGTTGGATAATTGTACGACGCGGTTCTACTGTAAAGCGGCAACTCAGCAAAATGAGATGAGAAGACCTCGCGTGTCATTGATGCTGATTCTTCATTGAACGTGATTCCGTTATATTCTTCCCGCGATACCCGCTGCTGCTGTTCCTGCTCTTGCTCCTGTTGCTGCTGCGGCTGCGGCTGTGGCAAAATGTCCCTATTGTCTCTGTTGGGAGAACAGCAAATTTACTAATCGATTCAAACCATGTACTCGCTCGTATACGTACGTACATAATAGACATGCAAGAATTTTGACGATACGTACTTATACATGAACATGTTCTTCTTTCCAGCATCGAGTTCTGCGATGCCAGACGATAAACTTATCCATGTTAAATCCTGGAACTGGTTTACAGGATCCACTACTCTAAATAATCTCCTTTCCCGCGCTATCTCTATATGTTTCTCAGGTATTTTTGACATTCTGGACAACTAAAAAATATAATAATTGTCACACGATCGTCAAACGTGCAACGAAGAAGATCGTTGTAGGTACTAGCGTGATTCGACTTACTGTTTTCACCATTTCTTCTACGGTCATCTCATCCAAGGCAATTTTCTGCACTGGTCCGAGCGCCTTTCTCTTGGGGAACCAACGCTGTACAGTAATTAAATGACTATTGGTCACCGGTTCATCTTCGTCCGATGACTCTTGCACGACTACCGGTTGCTTTCTTCTCAATATTAACTCCTGGACCAATATTTGCAAGCGAAATTGCGCATCAAAGTGAAAATCTTTTATCCTTTGATGGTCCTCGAGTAGCAACATGTAAGTGTTCTCCAACAATCGGCAAAAGTGGTACGGGATTTCTATATCGTACTTATTTTTCATTTCCGCCAGGATTTCTCTTTTCATCTGGCCGACGGTCATGTTCTCATCGACCGGAAATTGAAATGAAAACATTTGTTGCTAAAAGAAAAAAAAATACTCTTACACTGTATACTGTACGATAGCACTTATGCACTTGCGATAATGTGCAGTTAACCGTGTCATACGTTCGTTAATTTACGCAATGTTCAATACGATACATACCTTTAGCAAACTGGCACTTCGATACACTTCTACTACCAACATACGGTTCTGCAGATTCAGATTATAAAAGAAATCTATGCCTATCGAATAATTTTCAGTGTCTAACAAATTAGGGGAAACGCAATTATGTATAACCCATTCCGTTTTGGCGCTTCTGATTTCATCATAGTCCCATATCTCGAAACATTCAGAAGGTACGCCAACGTACGGCTCCAAATTTGTCTTTAGATCCTTAAACGTCATCCTTTTATCAACGACTACTTTCAAAACTGCAGAACAGGTACGATTGAAACATGGTTAGTTAAGTATTTATACAGTACATAACAATAGTACGCGGTTATTTATGTGTCGTACTAAAAAACAGTGTATACGCAGTGTACATACGTTTCGTATTATGATTCGTATATGGGCTCGCTTTGAAATAACATTCCGATTTGTCCCAATCCTCGAACGCGACTTGACTCAACATATCGATGAGAGGATTTCTCGTGCTGTTCGACGTAAGATGGGATAATTGAAGTTGATCGTCCTCGGGGACGTCACCGTCCAATGTTTTATCGCTATCGCTGAGGCTGCCATCCTCGCTGTTGCTTTGCTCGGGTGTATGCCATTCTTCGCCATCTCTAGTCGACTCGTGAGGACTCGCGTTTCGAACAGTGTCGACGGGTTTGTTGTTATCCACCGCGATCGGTTTTTTGATGCTATTCGATGCATTACTCTCAAGCTGGTGTTGCTCGGACGCGGTGGTACATGCGTTAGATACATCGTTCGGATCCGTCTTCGACGTATTCTCAGCCGCCACTATCGTCTTCATCTCGACGTCGTTGCCGGAACGAATCTGCTCCTCTTTATCCTTGGACGGTTCCTCCACAATTGGAATATCGAACATCTTCAACTTTTCTGTGCACATTTTGTTCAACATACGATAAACACGTGGCATAATTTTCTGAATGTAAAAAAGATACTAAAGAAAGAATGATCGCCGATTCGATTTTACGTTCTTACCTTTGCTGACATCGGCCAGTTTCAGACTCAGCGTCCTAACGGCCTCCAGTCGTTCTGCTATCGCGGATATCGTCGACTCAAAGAAAGACTTGTTACACTCGGAATCGTACTTGACGCAAGCGAATACTTTCGACTTGGTAGAAAGCTCTGTAACTGCCAGTTGAGCATCTTCATTCTCCAAGAGTACAGTTTCCGAATCCTCCTTCCGCAGCACTAATTTCATCTCGTCCGGTTCCAAGTTCAAATGTTTACCCACCATTTGACTGTATTCCCTGACCGTTTGGGGAAGTAACGCTCGTAAATTCAATATTGTTTCTAGCCTTTTTCCGCCGATGTCGACAACGTACACAGTAGTGACGATCCCTGACCATGGACAAACAAGCCAAACCAGGAGACATGAATTTTTCGTCGGATCATATCGATCGTGGATTTCGTTTAACGTTCCGACAACGTTACATCTTATGTACCAACTCGTATGCGCGACTCGAATATCTCATCCTTACCGGATATTTGTAGCAGTAAACAGTATCGGCTTCGACGACGCCAAAGACTTGAGAATTTCTCCTGTTCTTTGCCTTCGTATGTGTTAACTACCGTGTCGGTGCTAGGATCGTAAGCGACTAAACGACATTGATCCAAGCTCACTATTCCCTCCAAATCGAAAATCTGGTAAGCGTGTTTCGTCATTTCGGCCAAGGTTTTGTGTGACGCGAAGAAAATCAACATGTCTTGCTTTTTATCTTCGTTGGGCCGTTGACAATACACGCTCATTACCGCATTCTCTCCATAGATATCTTTTATATCGATATTTATTTTCTCGTTCTCTCGCTGTTTGTCGCTGTCCTTCATTTTCTCTAACAATTCCTCCATACCATGAACCTAAAGGACAGAGCATGAAGTAGGGTTCTAAATGAGGGGGGACGTAAGCTAAGACGCGAAGAGGGAAAACAATTGCTGGTCAAACTTTAGCGCCATTTATAACATTCCGCGGACTATTGTGAATCTGTTGTACAGCTTCGCGCATGTCCATAGTTTGCATGGTCATGCGAGCAAGCGAATATCTATTTATGTCCGATATTAAACATTTGCTTAAGTCCCTATTTCCTGTACAAGACAGGGACTGGAAACATGGGATAGACAGGGATAGCTTAAGACGATCTTAAGAATAAGCAACGACTCTGAATACCAATACCACAGCGTACTTTAATACCTAATCATGCTGAGGATAAAGTAGCAACACCGCGGGAGTCCGGCTTTCGCGTAGTGCAGGCATAGGCAAATCATTTTTCCCCACACTAATACGTATTTTCAAGTGTAAAATGCACCACAATATGACCAGCAATGCAACTTGCTGCATGGGGTGGGGAGTGCATGCACCCATGGTCTGGGCACCCCTTACCGCCTCAATCCTCCGTTCTCTAGGTCCATGTTCCATACCCTCGTAATCCCTTCCATAGATATCTTTTATATCGATATTTATTTTCTCGTTCTCTCGTTTTTCGCTGTCCTTCATTTTCTCTAATAATTTCTAAAATACGATGAGATCCATAAAAAAGTTGACGCATCGCAAGGTCAATCAACGGGTCTACGGAATGTACTCTGTACCTTTATATGTTTTGGAAAATCTTGCACCTCTATGGGTAGAGCGTTACGTGCAGGATCGATTTGTCTGTACATGAGCATATACGCGCTGGTACTACTCGTAGCTCTGCTAAGATATGATCTAGTCGAACCACCACCATACGTTTTCTGAATATCATCATCCGTTATCTGGAATAATTCAGTCGACTCCGTTCGATCATCTTCCTTTCATTTTATTCTACATATCGAACGATACTTTACTCACGTCCGATTGAATATCGTATGCGTATATTTATTACGTACTTGCGTTACGCTTTGATCATTGAAACATAACCATTCCTGCGTCCTAAAATCTTTAATGTAAGCGTAATAATGGCCACCGCTAGCACCACCGCTATGAATCATGATCGAAAACAACTCGTAATTGTAAGGCCCCATCTCTGCAATTTTCTCATCGTGTTTCTTTTCGTTCTCGCAATTATTATGCGCGATGTAATTTGACGTCGACGGTCCGATGCCTATGCCTAAATACGTCGTCTATACGAATAAATGTCGTTGTTTCAACATACTTGCGATTCGCGAAATCGACATACCTTCGTCATCGGCCTGATCTTGATTCCTCGTCGTTGTCGTTGCTGTCACTGGCGTCTCTATCGGGATCGCTGACTCCGTCCCCGTTTCTGTTGTCGTCGCCGTCGTAGTCGCCGTTGTTGCCGCGTGATTAGAAAGGCTGTTAGGTAGATCGTTATCACTAGCGGAAGAACAATCACCGTTTAACGTAGCACTGTTCGTTATCGAACTGTCATCGGATTTCGTCGAAGCGACATTTTCATCGTGCTCGGTAGCCGGCGATTCACCGTTCAGCACTGATGCAGAACTGATAAAAGGATTCAAGTTCAATATATCTGGAAAAGTAACCCTAAAATTAAAGAGTTTAGTAGTAGGAGTGAAAAAACATGAGATCCAAAATTAGTTGATCATTTCAGTTTTCAGCAACTCACTTATTGTTAAGTTTAATTCTATGGAAGGTTTCTAAGTCGAAGTCGAATCGTTTCAGATGAATCGTCAAAAGATAGGGAAACTTTGTGAATTTTAATCCTTTGTGAGCATCGCATTTTTTGTTACATTTGTCGCAATGATACTGATTGTTTCCTTCCAAAATTTCATATTGAACGAACGCTTTTAAGGATTCTTCCTAAAATCTCGATAAATCAGTTCCAGTTCGAACATCATTTCTATTCTACCAATCGTATCTGGATAAATTTCTTAGCGAAGTACAAGACTCGATTCAAAACTTACCACGCTGCTATACGTCTCGCTGCTACCAAAAGGTCTTACTGGCAGTGGAATATCGAGAAACGTATCCGCCCTAGATTTTTCATTACCGCATTCGAGACATTTAACGTAATCAATCATCGTACCTGACGACATAAACGCAATTACCATGCTGCGTTTCTACGCATATATGTATATCCTGTATATACCTTCGTAAAATCTGCTTATCAAATCGGATTGTTCCGTGTTCTTGAACTTTTGTTCCAAAGCATCAAACATCACTCTACAGAGTTCCTGAATATCGTGTTGTTGCCACGCTTCTGTCGAATCCCAACCGAAGCTTTGCGTCAATGCCGTAGTTTTCACTGCCGCCTTCGTGGAAGTCTACAACGAATAAAAGAAACTTATTCGTGCAGATTTTCTTCTTAACCCATAAATCGACGAATCGCATGTGATGATACGAGAACACAGCGCGTACCTGCAAGTTTAGAAATAACTTCTGTAGTTGATACGGAATACTGTTAGCTTCATCCTTTTCCGAGCCCTCGACGTACTCCCAGTTGTACAATGCGTTTCGAAATTCCGGTGTCATGTATAATGACTGTAATAGGCTATTTAAGTAACATGTCATTGCTTGGTTTACTAAACCGACATAGTCTTGAAAAAAAGACATAGAACGTAATGTTATTAAATTAACATTTTTTAATGTTACACATGTACGCGTATTAAAAGAAATTCCCTTGCGTGTGAGATTGTGAGAGACTCGATACAACGTACTTGTTTCAGGACTTTTCAGAGGACTTCCCAGGTCAACGTCGTCATCGCCGTCTTCTCCTCTGGATAATGGATGATAAGAATAACGACTGGATGCTTGCGAATCAAATGCCTTCGGTTGGGAACCAGCACAATACCTGGCTCTCTTTTTTTTAAAGTAATATTCGCTAGGTATGAAACCAGAATCGACCACCAGCAGCGTTTGTTTCGTTTCCGTCAAAGATTCTTGCTCCAAGTCCAAGTGAATGCCAACCTCCGACAAAGTCTTGTCCTTCATTTTGGACAAGTCGATCTAACATGCGAACAAGTTAATTTTAATTAATTTAGTTGCATGAATGAAACAGTCGTGGAATCAAATATATGTGTAAATAGAGATGCAAAGACTCGAACCAGTTCGGTCGAACACAGATACAGGTTGAATCTGTCTTGTTGCATCTGACATTGTTCCTCGATGTAATCGTAAAGTTCTTTGACACGCGTGGATATGCGTACAGGAACTTTCCGAGAGGGAAGGTTTCCCATCATAAGTACGTCGCATGGTATCAAATACGTCTGATCGGCTTTGCAAATCATAGTCTGTAACAAATCGACCCAAGATGTATTAAAACACGAGTTTTCACAGTCAGCACAAAACGATTATTCGCATTTTTTCTGTACGCACGTACAATACACCAAGTTTCCTAAATCTATAAATGTATGACTATGTACACGCGTTGCAGGAAACGATCTATGGAACAACGACGATTACACGAGACCTTACAAAAGTACGAAATATTTCAGAATGGTATCGTATGAAATGATTGGTAATTTTCAGACAAGTAATACTGGCATAGAGCCACGTTAAAGATTAGAAAATGAGCAAGATCCATGCAACACGGCAAGATACTACTCTACGGAGTATGACACGGTAAGGAAAGCCTATAGAACCTCCAGTTATATTTAGAATGTCTAAACCAAGACTCAGAAAATGGCTCTCTTCTCTGAGATCAGAATTCGCCGCCCCTCCCCCTCCTTTCCTCGTTCCACTTCTACTTTCTTCGTCTACGTTTTGCTTCAAATTACAGTGGAGGAGATAATTATATTATATTCGGTTTGAACGAGCTATTCCAACCTTCCGACGGATGCGTCGGTTAAAAATTGACCAACTATCGTCGTTTTCCTTGTTATTTTCCGTGCTACATGTCCGTCTTGTTAATGGCATATAAGCTCAACAAAAAATTCCTCTGTACATGTAATATATCCACATTCAATCCAATGTTCCGATGATCCAAAGTTTTGTTTAGTTTCGTTTCAAATCTCGTTCCAAATGGTACACGCGTAATTATTACAATTACAATATTCGTGCAATTGAATATCCTTTAAATTTAGAAACCAACATTTTTAATGGACCAAGATATATCGCAGGCAATTATATTTCAACATTCATGTTTCGTCAAGTTTCCAATTACTCGATTAACAAAATCACTTGCTGTTGTGTTTTACATTGCGCACACGTACCTATCGTGTAACGTAGGCGGATTGAAACTATTATATCCGCTCGTTTTATTTAAAGAAATAAGGAATATTCATAAACCGTTTCCGAACTCACGCGAGACTCCAGTAATTTGTAAATAAGACGCGATTAAATTTCACGCTACGCAAAGTGGTATATGTATATACACGAGTATCTGTTAAACATTCCACCGGTACTTTTTCTGCTCCGATTAGATGTATACCACCTATGTAAGTACATGTGGTAAACAAATTGAAAACGCAGAAAATTGTTGCCGGATATCGAGTAGATGGAAACCTAATTGACAAACGAAATTGGATACGATACCCGGAAGATTGGAATGCGCTCTCGTCTCTCTGATGATGATGCTTTCAGATTTACCGTTCCGTGACGATCGACCAAATGCTTTTCAAACATTCGCAGCGGTATCGTCCAGTGATTATCGCGATAAACATGGAATCGACGCGTGCCGATTTGTTAACTCGATATTGGAGTAACAAAAATGTGAACGGTGATAAAAGATGTAATCAAACGGCTGGCCAAACATTTACTACATAAGGTACTCGTCCCGTTCTCATCTCACGATTCAAAAACAATTCACACCGTGGAGAACTCGGTACCGCTGCACTTCCTTGCACGTTCACGTGAATCTTGATCAACTAATATTATTATTACTCGACGTTGATAGAGTTACTCAGTAATTGGTATAAATAAAGTCGAGATCGTGTTCTCTTACCGAAATTACTAAACAAGTGTGTAGTACGTAAGACGCAGTACGACGTGAGCATTTACGCCATATTTTGTAAAGCGTAGGACATGGTACTAGAACGGGGACGGATAGGACTACGACTGACTATATAGGCACCTATAGGGCAGCGCCGGCAGCGCAGTCAAAATACATAAAATACATATGCAGCCTACGCATATGTCGCATATATATATATACTACGCAATAAATACACATCAATTAATATCGGGTATCCAACTTCACTTCAGTCATCCAACACCGGACATAGCCAGTTATACCAATATTATATTACTATAAAGACTAATCTTTGATAGTCGTGAAATGACACCTGCGCCTCGATTCACGTCGTCGTCGTTGTCAATGTAAAATGACAGTTTTGTTACTTATGCTATCCTCGGTAATAGGTGGAATTCGAGGGAATCGAAGAGATCGCGAGAACGTCCTACCTCGTCGATAGACATACGAAAGAAAATAACTTATGCAATTTTTCACGCATGTAAGAATCCAGAGCCAGAACGGCAAAAAGGAAATTAAACGCCGATCTAGTTTACCTGCACGATTACGTCGTACCGTCGTACGTAAAAAGGATTAGCTGTCAGTTTTGAATGCGATGAAAATAAACGAGAAAAATATGGTATCTTTTGCAACTTCCGCAACACCGGTAGATCGAGAAGGTTGGTTAAACAAACGCGGCGAGTTGAACCGTGGTTATCAGAGACGATGGTTTGTTCTCAAAGGGAATATACTATTTTATTTCGACCGACGAGGTGACAAAGAACCAGTGGGCATGATAGTCCTCGAAGGTTCTACCATCGAATTGGCAGAGGACGAAGAACAATTTGGTTTTCAAATCGTATTTCACGGCCCAAACAATAGAAATTATGCTCTCGCGGCAGAATCCCAGGTAAACAGTACTTTATATATATCTAAATGTATCGTTACGTAAAGTGTTATCTGCGAAAAAATATTGATGAAAAAGAAAGAAGGAAACACAAGTGCCATGGATTATATAAGCCAATTCATTTCTAGGAGTCTATGGAACAATGGATGAAAGCTTTGGCATGTGCCAGTTACGATTACATGAAATTGATGGTGGCAGAATTACAAAGGCAACTAGACGCGGCAGAAGAAGAGACTACGACGGTCGCGGCTCCCTCCCAATCTCCGAAAGCTCCTCCGAGACAGAGACACAATCCATTCAACAGATCAGAATTGCATCACCGCTCACAGAGCGTCAGATCTGCTCCTGGAAGAACCGAAAATGTTTCACGAACGAGGATAACATTCCGCGAACTGCACAACATGTACGGTAGAAGAATTTTAACCGATTTAAACGAATGGAGGCACACGAAAAAAGTTTCAGAAGCTCCGTTGATCAGTTTTTAAATAATCACCGTATGCAACTTGTAAATATTCGTGATCGTGACAGTTACACGCGCGGAGAGGTTGGATGTACACAAGATATAGAATTATGTATTCATACGCTACTTAATAAAAAGATTAGACAGTTGTAAGAATGATCGGAAATTAGATTAGAAACATACAAATTGATACAAACATCGTTTGGACTTTAATAAAAATAGCGATTCGCAAACAATGCTCAATTATTAAATAGTTAATTTATAATAAATACTTGCACATTGCTGTCGTCTATTCGGTATTCCTTGTTCCAAAACGTAGGAAAAAAGGAACGGTTTGTAAACACGATCGACGGATCGGTCATAACTACTTAAATTTGAAAACACCTTTCTTTTTCACGTCGCCAGGTAAATGTCTGGCACCTAGTAGGAGTCGAGCTTTGTCCTCTTCCTGCGGAGCAGATTCCTCTTGCGGACCTCTCGGTTTGATTTGTAATTTCTGCTTGATAGCTTGACTCAATATTACGCGTCTAGAGTCACTTTTCATCGCCAGAAGAAGATCTAGCCACGTCCAAGTGACGTTGTGATACTCCAACGTAGGAATGACCAGAGCAAAGTCGCGAACGTCTTCTAAATTCTTTTCTTTATTACCCTGCGCGCGTGCACACGAATAAAAGTAAGATGAGAAACGGTAATCGATCGGCTGTGAAAATCGAGTTATCGTCGAATACGCACCTTGTATGAAACGCGAACGGGAACTTCAGGTATTTTTATATATATGAACAGTTTGTTTTTATCAGCTCTTTCCTTCATCTTTTCGACGTCGTCCCTTCTTTCAATCGGCACGTAGAAGGAAGAATCGCGTTGCGGTGCGGGTGGCTCTTCGATTCCCTCAGGATCTCTCTCGGGGAAACAGAATTTTAGCATCGTGTTGAAAAACTTTTTGGTCAGTCCTGTGAAAATTGTACGAATCACGAGAGTTAGAATTACGAGGAAACTGTTGCTTCGCTTTGGATTGATGACAGGCTCGCGATTACTTTTTTCGTTTCGTACTAATCCAAATTATTTTCTCGAGCGGTAGGATGACAACCGCGGGACGGCACGTACAAGTAAACGAACGTGACGACAACTTACCTATCGTTAAAGGAACAACGTTGATTTCGAAATGTTCTTTTACGGATATTCCCGCTACCGGTGCCTTTTCCCTGCAAAAAACGCGAAGCGCTCTCTGTCTATCGACGGGCATGTTACTCTGCAACTCAGTGGGCACCAACACCTCCGTATATATCTGATTCGGTAGTAAATTAGTCATCCTAACATATCCCAATTCGAGAAGATGTTCGACCGAATCATCCGTTTTGCTGGTTTTCGTATACAAGAAATTTGTCAAAATCAGATCGGCGATACCCAATTGGCCGTCCGCGTCCGTCAATCTCCACTGGGCGTGTTTGAAGCAAATTTCGGCGACCCTCGCGACCGCCGCCGGCTTATCCTTCAACGTCGTAGAGGCAGTCGCCGGGGCGGTTGTTTCCTTGTAGCAGCTCAACATCACATCGAGCTCTTCGGCTTTCGCACCGAGTTGTTCCTTGCATTCGAAAACCCGAGCCTCCAACCGTTCCATCTCCGCCAATAACTCGGGACTGGACTCCTCCGCGAGCGCCTTCTGCACCAGATACGTTTCGCGTTCCAATCTTCGTAATTTTGCGACTAAACCGCGCACCGTATTTTGGAGTTGCTGAATCGGTCGTTTCTGATCCTCGACCGAATGCAATTGCAGCTGAAATCGCATCCTCTGCAACCTTTCCGAGGCTTCCTTTCTTCTCGGTTCCACGTACAACAACAAATTGTTCACGATATCCAAGATCATCGCGTACTGCAACGAGTTGGTGCACACGTCTAAATCGTGATGCATCAACGTGAACGCATCCGCCGCCGAAAGTTCCTTCCTCTCCCACAAGCTGACTTCCTCTCTCGGCGGCGGAGGGACTTGATCCACGGAGCCAACGTCCAGAGCTTGACCGTAACCGACGTAAAAGAACTCGCATTTACATCTCGAGACGATGCGTTGTAGCTGGTGCTGAGGCCCGCCACCACCGCCGACCGTTTCGCTCACTACGCCGCCTACGCTCTGTCCGGAACCGACAAGTGCCGGCACATCTGGTAGTCCGGCTATCACTGTTGAATCTTTCTCCTGAAAACGAGGAATAACGTATCATCGTCCATCGGTCGTCCAACAGTCGTTGCCCCCGACGACGCTATTTACTTTCTTACCTGTATATTGTCCAACGTTAACCACATTATATTGTCGTCGATGTTATCGTCGATATTCGCATTGACGGTCGCATAATACTGCATGCATTCCAACGACCCAACCCAAGTGGTTTTTGACACCAACGTCCTTTCCTTCCATACAGGTTGATGAACTCTTTGCAATATTTCTGCTTTAGCCGCGGACAAGATCACGTAGCCTCGCGTCTCGATACCCTTCAGCAACACCTGACTGTTTACCAAAGCGACTGCGAACAAACCGTTCCACGCTTACCATCGTCCGTTCCGTTGTCACGATCGCATAATTATTGGATAAAGAATAAAGTATGAACGAGCGCGTACTTAGCCAATTTTTGTGAAGAACGTCGTCCTGGTGACAAGCCGCTAGCCCGCGCAGCTGCTGACCCCTGGTCTGCACCGACAAATCGTCGCTGAACGCGACCGGTTTGTTCGCAGCCTCGGCTATCAGTCTTTGCAACATACCCACGGCCTCTCCTTGCTGTGGTTTCGTCGCGGCGGATGACGATGAGTTTATCGACGCGCTCGGCGTACTCTGCAACACAGCGGCATGCTCAACGACAACCACGGAGGATCTCGTTCGATTCTTGTGCGGCGTCGATGAACTTTCCCTGTGGGACGAGAACCCCTTCAGAGCCGCAGTCGAAAGGTTCTTTTTCAGCTGTTGGGTTTTTATGAAAGAGTCGAACAACGCGAATGCCACGTCTCTGTTCGTCTTGGTCCATGCGCCCTTTAAATCGTGAACGACGAGCCTGTGCGTCGGTGTGTCACCGCCGGTGGTCACGCCGGCGACCATCGCCTCTCTACCGTAGCTGACCCGGGCCACGCTCAAGCAATAACATTTCTCAACCGGCTGCCGAAGCGAGGCGGCGGTCTCCTTGTCCTCGTGAAGAGCGCTCTTCAACCAGATCTCTGCATCGCTCAGCTCGCAGTTCATATAGACAACCGACCACTCAGCTCTCGGTCGATGTATCAATCCGTCGTCAATCGGGTGCAACGACGAATTGTGTTCACAGCTGCAAGCCACCCGACCACCAGTCAGTTCGAATCCGCGCTGCATTGCGAACGACATCCAATAACTGACGTGAAACCGATGGAAAGCCAAGGTGAGCCGAACTTTTCTGTAATGCCTGCTCAGTTGCTTCTTTCTAGGCCTGACGTTCTTGAACAACGGTCCCTTCCTCGTCGGTCTCGTCGCTCCGGACAGAATGAACTTGAGATTTTCGAACCATCGGAGAGTGCTGCCGTACAGCAACGCGGTCGGCGCGGTCGCCAACACCGGAGAGCCCGTCGGTTTCGTCTCCAGTGCGAGGCTAACGTTCAAGTTTTGCGACCGAAACGCCCTGAACGAGTCGTGTTCCTGATTGCTCGAATATTCCGGCAATCTGTCTGGTGCGCAGGGTATCGCGGCGTGATGATCCCTGGGATCGCCCAAGCACACCCATGCCAGTTTCACGCTTAAACGTACATTCGGCAGGTGCAACAATCTGCAATCGTCGTATTTGCTGGCCGTACGAACGTAAACGTCCAGATCTCCCTTAACGATTATTCTACCTTGCGTCCAGTCGAGTTCCAACCCTGTCCACGTCAGTTCCATTTCCTCCGTGGTGTTGTACGGATCCAATGAGCCATGCAGCAATATGGTCAACTGTTTCACACAGAGCGTCAACCTGCCGTGAAGTGCCAGCCGCATTTTGTCCCAGAACGGCAACGGTGGGCTAGGATCCCTCGAGGGATGAACGATTTTTTCAAAACTCAGATTGCATTGTGCGACCACCGGCTCCCAGCAAGGACCGAACGCGTATCTGTACTTGTCGATGTCCCAGTTCAGATCGTGGTAATATTTGATCGACGTCATTCCTCGTTCGACGACGATGTCGTCCCAAGGCGCGCCGATCACGATTCTTACAGTTCGTCTCGCGCGCGGAGGCGCCAGGGCTTCGGCACCGGCCAACCTGCCCCACACGCTCAAACTCTCCACTAGCAGTAACGGTTGCGGGAAATCTCGTAACTGTAATTTCCACTCGGCGCATTTCAAACTTATTCCTCTTACCCAGAGCGTGCTAAATTCCAGTCCGTCCTCCGGCCATGGTGTTTCCGCGTCCATCTCGCGAATAGCCCTGGTCGCGTTTTCGACGCCGTTGATCGACGGATCCGCCAAAGCTAGAATCTCGATATCCAGCATCGTCCAAGCAAACAATCGGGTTCTAGCAGGGCCCGCGCGTTGCATCTGCTTCCACCGTTGCACGTAGATCTCAGCGTTCTTCTTGTTTAAACTCGCGTACAGTTCTTCTACTTTTCCTTGGGGCAACAGCAGATGAGCGCGACACAACTGTTGCACTTTGGCATCGAGCATCGCCTGCCGTTTCAAACTCTCTTTGTACTCGTCTTCTAATAGCTCGTAATTATCTCGTAAACGTACCTCGAACGGATCATCGCTCACCTCGAACACCCACTCTTTTATCTGCAACGCAACAATTTCTCCATGTTTCTCACTCCCTCCCTCTCTCAGTCACTTCGCATCATTAAAAAGTAATGAGAAAAATATATATTTACCTTTATGATTAAATCGCACGGTAAATGCTCAGTCTCATGCGCGGAGGGTAAGGACGTGGACGAAGAGCAAGACGAGGAGGATGAAGAGGAGGAATATGACGACGACGATGACGACGATAACGACGAATGAACTTCTTTCAACCATTTTTTTATGCTAAATAATTCATTCTGAATCGCATCAGTAAACTGATGTTCGTAGGGGAAGCAAGCTTTCACCGATTCGATATTCAACATCCAAATTTCGTTCCAATCCAAAACGAAGCCTTCGTTGCTTTGCCTCTCCAATCGAACTTCTTTGTTATCCGTCACTCTGATCAATTCGAATCCCTCGATCATTATTATATCGGCCATGTCCAAAGTAACACGTAGATAATTCAATCTCCATTCTCCTTGCGACCAACGTAAATGGTCCGACGAGAGCTCTAAGAAATGTTTCGGTGATATATATATCGACAAAGCGATCCCACCAGTGGCGACTATATCCATCACACGTTCTCGTTTTCGATTATGTTTTCCCGCCGTCCCATCTAAAGATCAAATCGATAAGCGTTCCATGATGAATTTATGCAGAATTTGCGAAATACAACTAAACAATTATTAAATAAGCAGGAAGACCTTGAACGGTGATCATCGATTCGGCGTCTCGGCTTACGATGGATCTAAAGCTCGAAGATTCTAGCCAAAGTTGCAAAAGACGAAGATGTAAATTTGGACTCCACGCCAGATTGGTGCCGTCCAGGCTTATATTTACCATTTCGGATGTAATCGCACCTTTGCACTTTCTTATGGCTAAAAACGGATGGACCAATGCTTGTGCGTGCTGACAGACGATTGGCTCGTTTTTATTTAACGTTATCGCGCTCACACCCTCCGTCACGGCTACGAGTCGTTTCGCGGAGTATTCCAAATTTGCGGTGTCCAAGCGCACCATGACAGATACTGAAAGATCGATCCCATACACGCAACGTTGCTTAAACATCCGTTCCGTTACGTTACGTTATCGGCTGCGTATACGTACGATCATTTTCCGCGATAAAGAATAAATTACAGTTGGTAACTTTTAGGTTCAATTGAACTTTTTCGTCGTTATCCGATTCTTCGACGTCTTCCATCGTTTCCTTCACCCTTCCGTTGTACTGCTGTTGGCAGCATCTACGGAACGATATTTGGAGTGAATGTTCGCTACTTATCGGTACGTAGAAAGGTTTCATCATTTGCACGTCTTACTTGTATGCCTCCTCGAGAAATTTGGCAAGTTCCAAACTCCATTCGGTCACAAGTGCGTCGACCGCAATCCCTATAGCATTGGTACGCGTCGTAGCTAACAACACTCCGATGGACAAAGGCGTACCCCATCGATGAGACGTTTCCGAGATGACGGTGTTCGATCCGTTTAAAGTGCAATACAACGATTCTACCACCAATTCTGTACTCCAACCGTTGATTATATCTAAGAATAGTCAGACCCTGTTACTCGAGTCGTCGTTCCCAATTATATTTCATTAAGACAATTCTGGTTAAGAATAACAAACGTATATCACCATCGAACGTGTTCAACGAGAATTTCATGTGAGCCACGCCGCACGATGCTTCGTGAACATCCAACAATTTGATGCACAACGACGAGTCGTATAGTTCGGTATTCACTTTTACATCGGACCATGGTAATTTATTTCTGAACGATGTACCCGTGACGGATCTCGAGATCTGGTTATCTCCGGCATCATTGCATAGTATCGTCTCCCAGTCCTTGTGATCGTATATAATTGACAAGTTGCTGATTTGTGTAACGATTTGTAAACTGTCTTCTTCTATCTGCGCAAATGAGAAACGCGAATCAGGTCCGATGAGAAACGTAACGCAGCAACTCGTTGAACGCATGTACCACTCACTTTCGAATTTACGATCAATGATCGCAAAGTTAGAACGGGGAACCTGCTACGAATCGACAATCCATCCAAGTTTACGGTGAGATTCAACACTCGAGTAGATGGTTGAAATTTCGTGTTAATTTGCAGACCTTTCATTGTGCCCTCCAAACCAAGTACCACACCGTCATCTCCACCAGCAATCACACAGGAATTACCTACTTTCAACGTGAAATCCTACAAACATTTCGATGCTAACTTAAATTTCAGAATAGACTCATATCCAGAGAGAATGAATCGATCCGTTCGCTACTACTCACTTTCGGTATAACGGGCACTAGTCGAGCCAACAGATCGTTGGGCGAATCGACGCGTGGATCCGAATAGGAAGATGCCGCGTTAGCCAGGGAACTTCTATCTTTAAAGAACGTAACGAGACCCGCTCCTCCGGAACCCTCGGTTTGCGTTATTCCGATGTACAATTTCTATAAATTAGATCCTGCTTGATTCCGATCTAATCTCCCAACTCAAAGGACAGACTCGTTCAGGATCATGGTCCATCGAGTATCGCGTGCTAAATACAATGTAGCTACCCGTTCGAAGCATCGAGCTACAAATTTTCCGATAGCAGTTACGACATCGTTACTTTCTAATCTCTTCGCAACATGCGTTTCGCGAAAACTCTAAATCAGTAGGACTAATCGTCACGTGGCGATGTAGCAATTCGAACATTTATCGTACCGTATACTTGCACGTACCTCCAACGAAAACTCTCCTAATGCCTTTAACGTCGCTTCGGCCGTTCCAGCAAAGGATATCTGCGACAGGCAAGCGTCCGATGCGTGGCGCAAAAGTTTCATTGCTCCGCCTATCACGGCTGCGGAGGCGAGAAGAGTTCGAGCTCCGTGAACGACGCTACCGTCCAAAGTAAGACTTTCCGCGCTTCCGTTAGCTAACCATCCATTACCCAAAATTAACAGACTCAAATTCTCTACGTGCACAGCCATAAACTGGATCGTACACACAGATAGATTAGTATAGAATTAGAAGAAAAGTTAAAACGGTAGTCTTGTTCGGCCGATTACTTCATAATAGACGTACTTGTACGAACGTTATAATTATTGGCGGTATCTTCTTGTCTCGAAAATCGATCGGTTTCTTTGCTTTTTCGACGGTCTCTACAGGCGCTGTTAGAGGCACATCTTTGTTTATTCGAACGTCTTTCATAATTACAGCTAGTAATTTTGCAACATCGCTGCTGAAGAGACTGCTACGTATACTGATCTCGTCCACTTGCTGAAATCAATTAACACTCTGGAACTATAGACTGTATTTCATCCACATTACTCCCAGAAGAAGTGGAGGTAACGTCGCAAAACTATAAAATGCGACACTGTGCAAACTTACCAATGTGAATCCATTTTTCGATACGTTTACCTCTCGTAGTATGAAATATGGTAAAGATATATGACCGACGCGCAAATAAATTTTGTATCTTCTCTTCACTAGCCATGCTAAAAACCTTGGGATCAGCCTGACAACAAATAAAAAATATCCATTTATTTCGCACACGATTATGTTCGATCTATGCAATACTCACCAAGTGAAGCTACAATATAGAATAAAAGATATTGCACAGAAAGTAATTAAACCAGTCATTTTGTCAACATTGCATGTTGTGGCATGTGTGTAAATCTAAATGTTTCCTGAACAAAGGATTGCTCTTTTACACCTTCAAGCCTCGAGTCCCGAGCTTTCAATACCACAATAGTAGTATTAATCGTACTGGTACGACGGCATTTAAAGGATTATCCAGGTTCAAAGCGTTGAATCGTCGAACGATGATGAAGTTCGGATAAAATCTGTCACACTGTACCTACATTATATACCTTCGATTCGAAATAACATTCGCATTGTAACTTTTAAGCTTTTAGCCTGGTCTAGCTTGTCCAGTTGATTCAGCTTGGCTGATTTGGTTAACAGCTGATCACAGCTGATTAAGTGAATCGCCATCCACGACACAGTAAGTATACCTAATATTAGGTATACTGTGATCTTACATTACATGAATGTATATAGTACATATAACTCTGTTTATAATTGTAATTACCACGATAATTACTAAACAGAGTTATGAAGTTATAACTTTATTCTAGTCCGGATCGGGTTCCTATTTCCCATTCGCAATGCCCAGCCATGCCATTCGCGATCTAAAAGGGTCCAGTTGGGATTGCGGCGGCTGCGCTGCGGCAGCGCAGCGAGTATAATCGCAGTATAATAATCGCAATGGCGAAGATAGAACGCGGTCTAACGAAGTCGTTCAACGTTTCGGCAAAATGCATGCCTGTATAAACTTTTATTACGTAACAAAGTGAAAGATGATTTATAAAAGTAAAATTTTATTGTGATGTAAGTGCAAAAACGTCGCAAAGACAGTGCGATACGCAGAATAAAATGAAATGTTTGATTCGTTGGAAGTTGCACGAGGAGGTTCAGTTTTTAATTGAAATCTGACCGTATTATGTTACACGTACAATGATTCCTTTATTTTCAGAATGAGGAAAAGTAAACTATAAACCTTTCACCAGCTACGCGTTTTTATCATGTTATTTATTTTCCATTCGATCAGAGTATCCCGTAACGCGTGTCTATCACCTTTCAAGTTGGCTATCTCCACAGTACGTTTGCAGCGATATTAAATAACTCTTAGTCGAAGATGATCGACATCGTTTCTCTAGTCGTAATAATCTTGTGGTAATTTATTGTAGTATTCCACCGAGGCATTGTCGAATGTAAAGGAATTCTGTTACACTCAAAGACGTCAATGTGCATCGGATGCCAGAAGGGCTAAAATAATTTCATCGAATTTGATGGGATCGGTCAAACAACGAAACAATTCCGTTTCACCCGCGGTGATTAGCACGGACGATGAAAATCGGAAAGAACCATGCAGTACTTACGGCGAAGAAGAGTGGCGACAGATCAAATTAGATTCCAATAAACTTCGCAAACACTGCTTCATGTTGTCCAAAATAAGATTAACATGTAAGGCGACGAAGTTTGATTCGTTGGAGATGTTTAAACGGTTAGCGTTACGATTTTGATTGTCTTCAGCATTAGTGGTTGTCACAACGATGGCTGGATATGTGATAGCACCAGGACCTTTCGACGTTTCTACCTTCGCCGCGTGTTCCGTCGGCACCGGATTAGTTTCCGCGACAGCGAACGCTATTAATCAATTCTTCGAAGTTCCATTCGATGCGCAAATGTCGAGAACGAAGAATAGAGTATTGGTCAGAGGTCATTTAACGTAAGTACCTGCGAAACACACATTTGTAAAAGAAGAAAGACGAATCACTTATCAATCGCGTACCATGTATTCTATCAGACCCGGCCACGCGATAATGTTTGCAATAATTTCGGGCACCAGTGGATTATTATTGTTGTACAGTCAAGTTAATGGATTAACGGCTGCTCTAGGAGCGACGAATCTAATATTGTACACTCTTATTTATACACCCATGAAACGTATCAGTATTTTAAATACTTGGGTCGGTTCTATAGGCAAGTATATCGCGATTTCGCGTGAACGCGTTTCACCGTTCTTTGAAACGATAATAAAGTAGTAATTTAATTAATTTGTCCTTCATCGACAGTCGGAGCCATACCGCCGTTAATGGGTTGGGCTGCTTGCGTCGGCGACGTACTATCACCAGGTGCATGGATAATGTCCGGCTTGCTATACGCATGGCAATTTCCTCATTTCAATGCTTTGTCATGGAATTTAAGGCCGGATTATTCCCGCGCCGGCTATAGAATGATGGCGGTCACCGATCCGAAACTGTGCCGGCAAACAGCGTTACGTTACACCGCTGCGTTGATGGGTATTTGCTACTTGGCACCAGTCTTTAACGTAACGACCTGGTGGTTCGCTCTGACCTCGACACCGCTGAACGCATATTTTCTTTATCTCGGTACGCAACGCTCAAATCTTTAAGTTTACGATTTTTTAAAAAAATGAGAATTGTTTTAACCATGATTCCTGTCGATTTTTTTAGCTTGGAAGTTTCATAGACATTCGGATAGTAAAAGTTCGCGCAAACTCTTTCACGTTTCCTTGATTCATCTCCCTGTTCTCATGGTTCTTATACTTGTAAATAAGAAGCATTGGTACCACAACGATGAGGTATTGAAGGATACGTTGCTCCAGGAGAAAGAGAAAAAGAAAGAGAAGGAAAAAGGAAACGATACTTTCGCAATTATCACAAAATTAATTGCATCGACGTGATCCGACCAACGAGTTCAAGTATCATTGTTTGTACATGTAACATGTATCGTACATGCGCACGAGGAATTCGTCGAGTCCGACGAATTATTTTCTAGTGAAATTTGTGAATAGTAGCAGTAAGTTCTTAGCTTTTGTGGGTTGCGTGCTGTAAATGATTGCAATCGCTGTTACAAACGTTTCCTGTATTTTCTTAGCTCTAACATCTGTACAACGTCGATAAAATACGATGCGTATGTATATGTTTGTATTTATAATTTAATGCAACGCTTTACCGTACGACGTCGTCACGTCGTGGTATTTTGCGTAGTTTTCCGTTTCGCGGCGAATTCAATTGCCATTTGCCTTCTGGTTTTCGTTAAATTCCTGTGTCCAATGCAATCCAAATTCTCCGTAAAACATTTGTTTCTACAGCACTGCCGACACAATTTGTGAACACACTTTAGTCCCTGGAGGAAAACGGCGCCAGATCAATAAATTGCTAGTCCGATATATTGTAATATGAGAAACGATGAAATTTTGCGAACCACTGGATTCGGGCAGTTATGACACAGATCGGATCCTCTTCTTCCAACGACCATCGGTTTAGTCGGCCGTCGCGCCAATTGTTTCAGCCTTTTAAAACGTTTCCGAGAAATCTGGTTTCCATCTTCGTCCGTAAACTTCCTCTTCATCGTTTCGCTTTGCTGCGAGATAACGTACTGGTATACTAGACTGCTATGTCCACACGTAATGTATAATCGGTATCGATTCTTACGAGTATCAGCAAAGTAAATCACGTACGTTACTACTACGCATAGGTACAAATCATCGACTAACCGTTTTCATCTGTTCCGCTTCCGTTTCTGACTTCTCCACTGAGCGTTGTTCCGGGCATTGTCTTACGTACGGTTGACACAACCACGGAGGCAACTTTAAATTGTAATCTGAAACTCACGCGGTCCAGGTTCATTATCCGCGTAATGGACCTATCATATTACCGTAACGTAAACGTTCCGTAAGAAAAATCTTACGTGACGTGGGACTGTTTCTTACGGCGGAGGCATTTCTCGGGCCAAAAATTTCGCCCTTCCTCCCACCACGTAAGATTTTTCTTACGGCACCGTTACGTTACGGTAATGTGGAAGGTCCATCAAATATAAGGAGAAAAGCATTAGCAAAGTGGAAGACCGTGTACGAACCTGATCGATCCGATTCATCCCGCCAAACTAAACGGCCTTCGTGATAAGGCAGATACCGATCCCTCAAAGCACGCACGACGTTCTTAAATGATTCCATGGTAGAATTCGTAGCCAGAGTTTCTCTTTCTTCTTTATTCTCTGCTAAACAAAGTCTACTCTCTAGTTAGAAGATCGCTGATTGTAAGCGCGGTAAGCAGCATTTACATACGTAATAATACGTACGCACACGCGTTTACGTATCGCCGCACGCGTAACATACGTAGGCGGACGAGCGAGTGAGTAGAAAAGTAGATCGGTCTTTGATACGTACGTATGGTGGAACAATTTGAAAAGATGACCACGGATGAACGAGGGTGGAGCCGGATAACGTTCCACCAAATCTAGATACTCGAATGCCGGTTCCCAACTAGGCGGGTACCTAGCTTCGAATATATACGGATTGTAGAGGTTCCCTTCCGCCGACATTACACCGTGAACGTTCGTCTCCTCGATACACTTTTCGGCATCTTGCAAGCATTGTATATTGCCATTGGCAATTACCGGAATGCTGACGGCCTGTCTGGACAATGGGAATCGGCGAGTCAGTGGTGAGCTTATGCGCGTAAAGAGAGAGAAAGGAAAGTTTCGACGATTATCACCTAATAGCTTTAATGTGATCCCAAGACGCGACACCGGTTAACGGACCTTTTTGCTCGCGGGTACGACCGTGCACGGTCAACATTTTCGCTCCAGCGGTCTCTAGCATACGAGCGTATTTGACGGTCTTTTCGATCTCCGGGAATACTCGAAGCTTACAAGTTACTGGTACGCAAAGATTCTTGCTCAACCGACCGACTGCAACATGTATCGCGACAATACGCACTTACATCAAAGTTAGAAATCGAGATGCAAGCAATTTCGGATCACGTATACGAACCGATTCGACCAAGCAGATCCCAGTCGTCTTGAAGAAAAGCCCCGTAACGTCCACGTTTCGCTATCGCTTGAGGACAGCCGATATTTATATCTACAGCGTCGCAGAACGGCTCTGCTAACAACGCTGCTTCCAGCAACGTATCTGGATCGTTACCGCAGAACTGTAAGCGCGAAACGGCGTTACGCGAATCTCAATTTCGGATTTCAAATTCAATTGAAGAGCTCCGAATCAGAATTGATAATTATATGGTATACCTGAACGATCAGTGGTCGATCTTCGGCGGTACTGGCAAGAGCTTCCCGTCGATATTTCGGATCTCTGCAGAAGACCGAGGAATGAAGCATCGGGGTGTAACAAAGATGTGCACCGTGACGACGACTCAACAGTCTCCAAGCTAATTCGCTCGCGTCCACCATCGGCGCGACCACGTATCGCGGTGAACCCAACACGGTTTCCCATATGTTCGCGGCGATAGGTTCTCGCGGAACGGTATCTGCGAGCCGATCGGCCGATGTCGAGGACATCTGCGAAAATAGACGATGTTTGTGGTTAATCTTCTTTGTCTACAATCAACTTTTTTACCCATTTTCCGATCGTCCACCTTACTTTGCTAGAGCGTACCTATACACGAGAAACTGCTTACATCTTACACGGCGTTAATCCAAGACGAGTAAGATTATAAAAAGACTATTCTCCACTGTTCTGAAATTTCCGAGGGCGTCGGTTCGTCACACGTCGATCGATTCGCCAAGATCACGAAGAACATGATACTGGTATTGAGGAAGAAGAAGACGAATGGACGGAATACGCAGAACCAGAAAGAGAAGAATGATGAGGAGTAACGGATTTCGAAAATTCTGATTCCAAAATAGGCGAAAGTTTCGATTTCTCTCTGATCACCGTTAATCCTTTTCGACGGGAGAATCGAGCAACATCATCGGCTTTATCGTATGTCGATGGTGCGAGCATAATGAAATCGGTTTCTTTTGACGATGGATGCAACGAATCGAATTTCGAAAGTGGCCGAACGATCGGTGCAATCGCCTCAACAGTCGTCGACTCGTGCGAATTCACGATTTCATTGATCTCCGATAGCGATAATGCGTTCGCGTGGAACAATTCTTGTCGGCTCGACTTTCTTTTCTTTCTACATTTTCTCCACTTTCTTAATTTTCTCTTCTTCCCATTGCTCGTTATCGTAACGTACGTCCGAAAAAATGTTTCCATCTCGAAGATAGGCTCGTAATAAGAGTTCGTGGCGACACTCGCGATCCGTAAACGGCGCGGGTCGAAAGCATCGTCCGTACTCGTAAAGGGTCTCCATGGATCTCCACTGCCGCTACGAGGTATGATGGATCCGTCGACGACGATTTTTGAAGTTTCCGCTGAGGCAGAAATGACGGACGCTTTCTTTTCTCTTTTGTTCTTTACGTATTCGTAAGTGGTCATTCCGAGGCAGGCGATGTAGCCATGAAAGCAACACAAATGAAGCAAAAGAATTGCCGCGATCATTGAAAGTACACCGATCGCAGAGAGTGCGATTATAGTGCCCGTGTCCGAAGCTGGTGCGATGAAGGAAGCGAGAGGGTGGCGTTCCCAATCCGAGGTAGTCCCGTTTTCCGTTCGAGCCTGATAAGTTTGATAATAATAATAGGTGGAACAATCAGGCTCGGAGCAGTTCCTGATTCGTTTCGGTAGCAAGAGCAAGGAGAATTCCATCACGGAGAGAACGACGACTATCAAGTTCGCCAAGATCGCCGAGATCAAACAGATGAGAAAAACGACATAGTTTCTAGCCCCGATGCAATTATTAAGCCATTTGCAATGGTGATCGAATCGAACGATGCATTTGTTGCATATCGAGCAGTGCTTGGTCCTGTTGCTCTCCGTAGTTATATCGCAGAGATGACATTTACCATTTTCGATCACGTGTGCATGCACGTTTCGATCGAACTCGGGCATGATTTTGTTCGTCGATCTGGATCGTATCCTAGGGTCCGCTGGATCCAACAGCAGAACAACTGCGTGAGAGCACACGTGGACCACAAAGATCGACGCAATTACAATCGTCAAGATCAATCGATAATTCGGTTCTAGAAGCGGTGTTAACATCGTGAACGTGTTTATCGCGATGATCGCGATCACTATCCAGCCGATCACTTGTCGAGGATCCAGCGGAAGTTGGAGCCCGTGAACGCGTCTAAATTTTCTTCTTTCCGGTCGGTCTGTTTCTCTTTTCCGGTCCAGTTTAACAGCTATGAACGCGTTCATCCAGCTCAGCACCGAAGCCGAACCTGAACACAATCTCGATGGAATGCTGTTCGTCGCTCGGCTTCCTTTCGTTTCGCTCGCGTTTTGCATAACGCACATTTACACGACTTATAATTTCCCACTACTTCTGCTTTTCTAACTCTTTTACGCTCTACTCCCGTCGGCTTTTGTCGACTTACTTTTTTCTCCGGAGCTCATTTTCGTTCCGCTAACGACAAAACTTTATAATTCGAACACTGGACATTCCTTTCAAGGAAATCGCGTTTTCGATCGATACTTCCATAGCAACGTAACGGGCTCGTGTAAACATAGCTCAATGGCTCTATCTTATACATCGGACATACAATTAACAGCACATGGACCACGATCTATAGACAGGTCTGCCTGGATTCGGGAAATCCTAGGTACATAGAACATTGACTACCCAAGCAAAATTTGATATGTTGCACTTCGTCTTTTTTCAATTTTCTAATATTTATTAAAAGTAGAGTTAATAAAAGTTTGAGTTTAGTTCGCAATTGTATAAATATTAGCTTGTTCAATATTTGCTTCCTATAATAAAGCAGCAATCTAAATCGGAAGGGGGTAATGAGGATTGTTCACTGCTCGGGTCTCGTTTATAGTCACCTCTATACGGTAAGACACGGGTTAGTATCGTTTCTAAAGTCAGTGGACTTTGGAAACAGTATCAAGCGAAGAACTACAATTTTGAATGAATGCTGAATGCTGCTCTGATCTTTCAACAATTTAATATATGTATATATACATGGATGGTAATGACTGTTACAACCATTGAACTATATAAATAACTGGAATGTGAAGAGTCATCAAAAGCATACCAGTTGTTTTTTTATTCAGTTTAAAACCTGACTATAAGATCGTAGGTGCAGGGTACAGATCATCTATGTATGCATGCAAATAAATATTACTGAATATCCATTCGCACACTTTTACATTACATAATTTTACGTCAGAATGCAACGAATACACTTTTATAAATTTTGCATAACTACTTATGTACATGGATGTCATTATTTCCGAGCGTAAATTTTCAACGTATCAAGTATGCCGTATTTCTTCACCTTACTCTCGTTTATTCCGGATGGAAGATTGGCCAGGTTAGATCGGTCGATCGTAGTGGAACGCACCAGGACAACCGCACACCATACAAGTAGGACATTCGTGGCATGAATACTACAGTTTTTCGTTTCGCTATCTGCTTGTCGTATTGATTTACAATTCGATGATATTTCAAGCTAACTCAATCGCGTATTCATCAGTATTCGTCACGATTTACAACAATTTATAATGCAACTGCAAAGCGTTTTCACTACGTCCCATCATCACCCACCATCCATCGTGATCCATCGACCATCGACCATTGATTGAAAAGCTGGTATAGTAAGTATATGCAGAAAGATATGGGATCCTTTCGAGAGTTGGCCTCTTGGTGCAGCACTTGTGAGGGAATCACAAAATCGCGGGCGTGAGCACTCTCATTACTTCTCTACCGATGCTGATATCGGAGCAGAAGGTAGATAAGACGATAGAACATAAAACGGTTAAAAATATGTAATGTGTGGCACTATTTATTTGTCTGGTCACTGCCGACTCTGCTGACGAGCCGACTCCTAGTCACCAGCCATCCTAACTGTATCGTGTCGATACCTACCTGTACGCAGTACGCACAGTACAGTACACACATCTGTATTCTGTACTCTTTACTTGATGTACTACATCGGAGTATTTGATGAACTTCGGGTAAGTTCACTTGTTAATAATTTGTCTCGATGCACTCGGAATCGAAACAGGTACTCGATCATGTCAGTTCGAAGTTTTAAATGACATTCGCGAACGATGGTTCGAATGACCTTTTTACGAATATCGCGATACAGAGCCGACAGACTTACTAAGTATTCTCTATGATTCTTTATTATACATTCGGAATGTGTATGAAACGAAGGATGTGTACTGTGATAGTGTGCCTATACATATGTACATACCTATTCATATTCATTGATAATATAGGAATATCGCCTACAAAATTGTCTGGCGATTATGAAAATATCTCCACGAATATCACTTTCGTCTATCTGCGATAAAATCTAAACCTCGGTTTACTCAGAGTTGACAGACAGTAATTTGAATCGTTCAAACCTATGATAGCTATCGTATAAAACCTTCTATTTGACAAACACAACTTATTCGTTCTACATTCTCTTTCATGTGTTCCAGGTGTCTATAAAAGTTGTTCCAACTTTTAACGCTGAGCTCGTTTTATACAACAAATTACGACAAATGGATGATGCCAAGTTTCATAAATTCGCTTTTACTTCCATTAGCTGTACGAACACGAACGAACGATCAGGATAATCGTTGTCGTCGTCGTCGTCGTCGTCGCCGTCGTCGCCGATGATTCCTTCTGTCATTAAAGATTTAAAATAACCGTGGGTCACCAAAATGAATATCAACTCATTAGGCATTGCCGATCTCTTCGATCTATTAGAATCTAACAAACTCGGAGAGGTAGAAGAGATAAAAAAAGTATTTCACGATCTCTTCTTATGCAGTAAGTAAAGATACTAATGTTAAGACAGCGGTCACCTTTTCACGATAGCATTCCCTCCGTTTTAACGAACTTTCAAATTGTTATCAAACAGCGAAGGATACATGGTTGGTAAATGGTCTGTTTGATTACTATCTGTCAACGAACTCTTCGAGAGCGGTGGAAGTACTGGTCGGTGTCCGCGAGCCACACGACAAGCATCTGTTGGATCGTTTATCTGAAGTTTTAAGCAAATCTGGAAGCAGCGGCCAAAGAATTCGAACCCTTACTCTGTTAGGTCACATCGCTCGTAGGCAACCCATTTGGTTGTACAAACTCGCCGGTCATACTTTGTTTCGGGAGTTACTCAAGTTACTTAAGGTAAACCTGAGTTTCGAACAAATCAATTCCATTACTGATACGACAAGCCCCTACTGATCCTCCTGGTTCCAGGTGGAAACTGATACATTGTCCCTGATAAGCGCGCTTTTTCTTCTGGCGATGTTATTACCGATGTTACCTGCTGCTCTGGGACCGTATCTTTCCGAAATTTTCGAAGTTTTCGGTAGACTGGCCTCCTATTATCATCATCAGTCGTTGACCGCGTTTTCTACTCCCGCACATTTAGCGTCAACGACGATAACTGAAACCATAGATAAGAATCATTTATATTTATTACATCTACAGGTAATTATTAATTATATTTATATACGGCCATAACAGCGAGACGACGAAGAGAATATTAAGTTATTACGATGATTCGTAACCAATTTTTTTCTTTTTAGATGGGATTGTACAGTTTGTTCCACAGATTGTACGCGATGTATCCTTGTAACTTCATTTCATACTTGAAACAACAGTACGTTCAACGAGATCAATTGGCCACTTTCGCTCACACAATTAGACCGATGCTGGACTCTGTTCGTATGCATCCTTTACTCGTTACCGCGTCTAAAGATACCGAGGTTTCTGCTGCTAGGTACGTCGTCCACGATTCCAATCAGTAACGATAACATCCGGTACAATAAAATTTACGTGTTCACTATTTATTTAGCGCGCTTGCATTTTAGATGGAAGAAAATGGAACATCACGATGTTATGGCCGAGTGCGGTCGCTTCACGTTGGACAAGTGTCGAGAAGAAATATTTCGTACCGCCAGTTCACGTTTCACGCCGCCTTTAGGTTCGTTTCCTAGTAAATTATTAATTAATTACAATATATCATTATTGAACGCGCGGATACGACCGTTGCGCTTTCCATTTTCAGATTATTCTTCTGCGTGTACTCCGATAAGCGTCGGCGGTGTCGGTGGGATGGCTACATGGGAAATTAGCAACGGCGAAGAGGACACGTTTTGGTCGCCGAGTATGACCGTGACATCGCAGAGTCCTCAGTTTCCTTCTGGCTCCGTGACGTCTGCTCCCTCTACGCCTAACAACAATAGTAACAATAACATTACCAATAACAACAACAGTACCAACGTCGGTAGCAGCAACAATAGCGGAAACAGAACCGGTACTTCTCCGCCGGAAGCCGCGGTCGAGGCCACTCCTGAAACCACTCCCGTCAAGGTAAGGACAACCAAAAAGCAACTTTTTCGAACGAATGGAACGTTTTAACGTTCAGAAAAATGTATTGTGCGCGGTAAGGATTTACGAAAGAGGCAAGTACCTGCTGGATCCGCTGCAGTTCGTGCTCTTAGCGCGTTCAGTAACGGTGCGATAATAGGAGCGACCTCGCGGCCCTCTACGCCGATTCTTCCGTCGAACAACGCATCCATGTCCGCATCGAGCACGATCGGAAGCGGGGAGGCTAACAACGCGCATGGGTTTCTATCGCACAAGCTATGTAAAATTATCGCAGATAGGCAGACAAGCACCGTCGACGTGGCTGCCACACATTCTCAGCAAAAATTATCCGTCAACGTCGATGAGGATGGAAGATTTTCGGAGGCTGACGTGAATCAAAACGGGAAGAACGATTCATGGCAGGAGGATCAAGAGGTAGCGTATTTTTTCTGTTGCACGTCTATACGACATTATAAATCACTTTTTCGACAGATTTTAGAGATAGTTAATTGCCAGTCCGTTGGAAAGTTCGATGGTTCGAAGCATGCCGAGCAACAGGGACAACGAGACGATGAGAAATTACAAAATACTTTCACCAATTTGTCTCAAACGGTTTACCTGCGTTTGTATTCTCAGAGCCAGACTCCTGCACACTATTCCAATTCATTTGGTAATGTAAGTTTTTGCGTGACAACCACGTACTCGAGATTCATTGCGACTAGCATAACAAAAGAAAAGGAAAAAAGTGTCTCGACATTTACAGATTCTTCGAAAGAGCAAATCTTGCTCCGACATCAAAGTACAGAATCGAGAAATCGATAGTATCAAAACGGCGGAAGGGATAAAAAAATCGGAAGAGGCTGGAACGCAAACGTTCGATCTGCTTCCGTACGAACGTTTGTTCTTAGGAATTTGTGAACAAAAGAGTCAGATGAATTCCCAAAAGAGTTCCCTACAGGGCACCGACTTTCGATTGTCACCAACCGGAATGCTCGATCGATACGTCCAAGTTTGCACGCGTGCCAGTAATTATTCCGGTGATAAAATCAGTTGATCAAACAAATAATAATAATTCGATTCCATCGAATATTCGGGTGAACTGAAACTAACTGTTTTTTCTCGACTACAGGGACTAGTAGCTTGGCGATCGAACAACAGCAGCAGAAACAGAGAAAAGACAATGACGGAGAAACTGACCAAGTCGGGGAGGAAGATACTTTGGACGTCGAGTGTGCGAATCGGTTGTTACAGCTGATGCAAATGCAGCTGCAATTCGAACGGCAACGCAGAGAAGTTCATGCGGAACGTAATCGAAGGCTTCTTGGAAAACTGAGGGACTCAACCGCGTTGGAAGAACATAATTACGCTTTGGTCAGTTCTCTTTTTCCGTTGTTCGTTTCCCTTATTTTTCGTGCCCGATGCCACCATTTTCTTCGTTCGTTTTATTGTTGAACGTTAAAGATTGCTGTGTGGTTCTCTTTAGACTGATCGTTTGAAATTGATGGAGAAAGAAGTAGAGGGATTGAAGGCTAAACTAGAGCGTAACAAGAAGGAAGCCTCTCAAGCTGAAGGTCGATACAAAGAGACGCTGCAACATTGGCAAACTAAGGTAATGAAAATTTGAATAGGAAACTAAAACTTTTATCGTCACGCGTAATCAAATTACTCGAAATATGCAAGCTACTGAATGGTGTTCCTAAGGAGATCATGTGTGAATCGATGAGTATGTTTACAGTGCGTGGATCAAGAACGACAGAACAAGGTGCTAAAACACCGGCTCGATTCCGTTGAACTCGAACTGACGAACGAACGGAAAAAGGTAGTCGATTGCGAACAACGAATTCGTTCCGCGGAGGCTTCTTTGTTCGACGCGGGCCATCAACTGAGAGTGGCATTAAAGGCTGCAAATCAAAGCAAAGAACTAGAACGTATGCTCGACGTTGTACAGAAGAAATTACTTCTGCTCGGAGAGGTACAGTCGAAATTTGTCCGTATTCTTCTTACATTAGGAATAATACATATAAACGAGGCACGCTTTACGTGTGTGTAGGCACAAGCAAAGTTGCAAGAAAGTACGGTTGGTATTTCGCCAATGACAAAACAAGAAGCAATGCAAATTCAGAAATCGTACGCAGAAGAATTGAACGGTGAGTATTGGATGAGGACGTCCACTTTCGTACCAACTTTTCATTTACGTATTAACGATTTTTTCCGAAACTAATTACATGATATCGATACCATCTACGTATATCGTTTGCACAGGCTTACGACGACAATTAGAATCACGAACCTCTCACGTGGAAGCATTGAAAATACGACTGACCGAACTAGAGAACAAAGAAGCTCGAAAGGAAGCACAACTGGTGGAATTTCAACGACTTTTACAAGAGACCAAGGATCAACACGAGGCCGAATTAGAAGCCGTAGAGTCGAAATACAAAGCACAAGCAGAGATCAATCTTCTTCTCGAGAGTCGTATACTCGAGCTTCACGGGACTCTGGAAGCAGCAACCGTTGCTACCATGAACAATTTAGCTTCATCGGCGTCGCCTAAGGAAAGATCGCCACCTCTCTCGGCTAGTTTAGCTTCCTCCAGTGAGGGAAGTCTCGCGTTCATTCACTCCGGTACCGGGATTATACTAAACGACTGTTGCGATACCGCTGCAGAAATTCCTAATCTTCAAGCTATGGTCGAACCTGCCCCGAGCCAGGCGACCTCGCCGTCTCGTCAAGTTCAGCAGAGACCGATTTCTAGACAGGACTAACGCTACGCGAACCCGACCATCGAATATACCAATTTCATTCGCATGCGACAGTTGTTCCGTGATATCTGTATGCGCGTGTGCAATTACCGTGCGGCGACATCACTCATGGTGTCGAATCGAATCGGAAAAAGAGTTATTTCTAGCTTTTTATCGACGTTTTATGCGGAATTCGTAGTACTATCATTGTAACATTAAGTATGTATTATCGTCTCGCATGCGCGAGTTTCGATAAATGACTAAAATCGGTCGCGCGATTAATAAAGATTACCAAGCATGATACGATACGACTTCAATCTCGAACAAACGAGTTCACGATGAATAAACGGTTGAGATATTTTCCGAGCTATTTTCTATTTCTCTGAACCAACCATTCGCATCCTTACATCGTTTCCCTTGCAACGTCTTCGTCTACCGGTGTGATAGTTACTCCTTTGATACTCATTCTCATTTACGATTTTTTAGTTGCTCCTGCGGATTTATGATATTATGGTTAGAGAAAAAGAACTGCACTGTCGTTTTACAAAAGAAATCAATATATTATATCGAATCGACGCTTACAATTATTACGTAATACTGACGATGATCTCGGTATAAAACGTGTAGAGAATAATGTAAAGATCGTATTTGATACATAAAACACGCGCGCACTGTACGCGTAAAGAGTAAAACTGTACTCTACGATCACGCGAAAAGTATACATACACGTTTAACTATATCTTCGGTCGATACCATCTTGTAAGTACCTAACGAATAAACGAACAATTGGCAAACGATACAAATAGTAGTACCAAATTCCTTAAAAGAGCAGAACGTGCGTCATTTTCTTTTAGTTTTATCAATAAGTTTGTAATTCGCGACTCATAGTCATAAGTATCGCGTCGTCTGGATTAGCGTAACTTGCCAAATCTGGAAAAGATCGTAACCAATAAGACAATATATTTTTCATCCAATGATATGAAACCCCATTAAGTACCACCCGATAATATTAATTTGAGCCGAGCTGATGTACGTAGATATTTGCACAACACATAATCGTTACTCACGATTATGACCCATGTGTGCCGGTGACATTTTCAATTTTCGTACCAACAATTGAACGAGCCAAAATAATGTTAGCCACAACAACGCACCCATGGAAAATACCCGTAACGTTGTAACACCGCCGTAACTGTCCATCAACCACCCACATATCAAACTGCCACTTGATACTCCTGTAAGCATTTGTCGATCAGTACATGACGCGACGACGCAACGAGATCGCATGGTACGCGCGTACATATCCGTTACGAACCGATTCCTTCGAATATAGCACCGGTGAAACCTTGTACAGTCCCTTTAGTTCCAGGTGGTGTTACTTTATCACCGTATGATACCATCGTAGGCCAACAGAGGCCAAGCGATGGCCCGTGAAGAATCTCGATGATTAAAAACCACCATGGATTCGATACAGTACTGTATGCCATAAATCTACGAAATAAAAGAGAAAAAGGGGCGAGAAGAAGATGGATGATTCGATCTATCAAACAGTGTTTTATAGCGCGTTATTTACCTAATCGCGTACATCAGTAAAACTAGGCTCATTACGTTTACGTGACCCAACTTTCGTAACACATCTCCCGAAATAAAATTGAATGGCAGTTCGCCTAAAAAACACTGTACGCCGGTCAAAAGGCCTTGTAAAGTTTTTAGTCGCGTTATTTGAGAACTAGTCGCTAGGTCTTCGGTGTACCAGAATAGAAAGTTCCATACAACACTGGTACACATTCCAGCACCTATGCACCACCATCCAAACGCCAACACGTTACCGTCTTTAAAAATGGTCAATAGTTCCCATAATATCGACGGTTCTTGAGCCTCAGATTGTTCGGCATTTTTCTGTAACGATACTGCTTTCTCCCATTACCTGCCAATTTTTCATTCTCTCGATAAGTAAGAAGTATCAGATTTGGTTTCGTTTCTAGATTAAACGACTACACATATAGATGTAGGAGAAAAGGAGTCGGCTGATCGCTCTCGTTAAATCGGAGACTCGAATCCAGGTCTTTCGTTGCGAGGCAACTGTTCAAACCGGCGACTCTAATTCTCCCAGTCTGTACAAACCCGACTTAAGGATGTATTGGCTATACAGTCAATCCTAAAAGTTTATGCACTTTAGAAACATTTTTTAAAAAGAAATCAGACGTCGGAAGAGCAATGC